AACCAGTATTTGTCAAAATACATAAATATTTCATCTCACTTTATATTTCTAACCAATAATCGTTCGTTCTTATTACCATAAGTGACTACTACATAAGAAACATAACGAACAGCCGACTTGATCATTGATTCCATTAGAAATGAATCAATATTATGACAAAAAATTTACTTACAAAAATACACAAATATGTCTCACTTAATACTCAAAAGATTTCTATTCACGGCAGCTATTCAGACTATTATATTATTTATCTATACACAATATACGATAAGATCATCAATATGTAAGTTAAATTTGATCGTTTAAGTTTAACATTTAGCAAAAATTTTGATATATAATAGAACAGGTTCACGGGCTCTCCTTCCTTACTGAGGAGTTCCGGGGAGAGCCCGGAATTCCTGTACTCCGTCTAAGGGCAGGAACGAAACGGAGTTAAAACTTACATACAAAATTTACATATAAAATGGTTTCTAGTTTATAAGTAACACACTTTGTGTATAACCATCTCTATTTTTATCACTATTATCTAAGTAATTGAAGTAGTGTTCAAAAACTGTAAAGTTTGCTTGCTAGTGAGAATACTTCAGCAGGTATTACTATAGAAGAGCATTTCAAAGTATGACCTACTCTATTAAGGTTTCAGAAAAAAGCTTTGTTGTATAAGAGTTGATTAACGCCACTCCTACCAAGAAAAGAATTTGTTTCCTTAACTTAAGCCAAAAAACTTGAGAGCTTGAGATCACAAATTGACGCCGTAAAGTAAGGGTAACTTTACTTCGTATTGTATTTCTTTGCAAGATTTTTTGAAAAATTGTATTTATGTAATGGTAGTCTTTTTTTAATACGACTCATATCTACCATTATGGTTAGGATGCAAGGATAGTTAGGATAACATTTCACAAATCCCTTTTCATATCCGGTCGCTCCAAGCTAAAAATTGCGAATAGGCACTCTTTTGGCAAATCTCGCTGACTATGCTCTATCTTTCTCAACCTTAAAATATTGAGCTTGAAAATGATGAGAACTCTTCAAGATAAAGAGTACGCAATATATGCTTTGATCTATCAATACAAGAACCGAGTTCCCCGCTTTTTAGATATTTCACCCTCTCAGACAATTGCATCGGGAAGTTCGCGGTCTCAAAGCATGCTACATGGCGCGCCGCGGCCCTTAAAATCTCAGCCGCGCACGCCGCGGCCCGTGTATATTTTAACGGGGACGCCGCGGCCGAAGTCAAAATTGGAAAGAGCTTACAGGGAGAGTCGAGGCCCAATCACCTCACTCGGCGTGCCGCGGGTCTTATCAAAGACCGCACTTCTTACACGGTGTAGCTTAAGGCGCAACCCGCGTTAGGTACGCCGCGGTGATGGTGCTACCTTAAGTGTTTGTGGTGCTGGTGATCGTTTCTCGGCTTGAGTTGTGTGACAGTTGAGTTTACATGCTTACGAAACAAACTTCAGCAATCGGCTGAGTGTTATCGACAACAGTAGATGATGTCGACAGATGAGCTAACAAGTTGCTCAATTTGTACTCAGTCGTTGTCATGAAAGACAGGCCAAAATTTTTTCACTCTTCCTAGGTCTCACAAGCATGCTAATCGGGTCAACTATCGGGCGCTTACAGGATGCGCCGCGGTCACTTATCGGGCCTAATATCGGTTTATACCTGGCAGCTCGCGGCATGGATGATTGGTGGCCGAGCAAGCACCCGCGAACTTCCCGATACAATTGTCTGAGCTAAGCTCAAGTGAATATCAGGTCTTATACAAATATTGTCTTTTGTATTCGGCAGACACTGATAGGTCTTAAGGTCTACTGCTCGACTTCTCAATGAAAACGATGTACAAAAATAGATTTCTTTCAATCATCCACGATCTCTCATTTTCATTTTCAGAAATAAAGGTACCGAAGAATTTCATTAGCGGTTAGTCAACAACTATATATACAAATTTTCTAGAGGAATATGCCTAGTTGATTGTGTGGTTTTTGGAAAAAGCAAAAAACGAAGTCCCATCGCGATTTTTTATAAAGTCCCTTTTAACCCTAAACCTTAAACGTAAAAATACCTCAAAAAAACACGTCGACTAAAAAATGTAACAATTTCTTGTTTTTGGCCTCAAAAACGATACCCGCCTTTGCTTTTTGTTCCCAAACCGATATCCAGCTTGCTTTCAAAACACCTGTGCCGAGCCCTGTCAACGACTCTTTGGTCACGAGGTCTTTTGAGAAGCTTTGGGTACCATTTCGTAGAGCAGGCTTCAACTTAGAATTACACTATGGAGCAAATCACCGATCTCTTTTCATCAATGTAGCATTACGTTGGGACCTTTTGGCGTATGGCGTTACTGCAAAGCGCTGTCGTTTCAAATAATTTCGAAAAAAATCTAAGAACTCGTGTGATAGCGGTTTCATGAAGTTGAGTTTGACACTCAAATTTATACGAGAATGTGAAACTTTCCAAACGGTGTAACCACATTTTTGGGAACATCGAGAAACGGCTACCACCGCATACCTGGCATAACTTTTTAAGAAAGCATTGGTGAGATCAGTATTCATATTTAGTCAGCAACTCTAATTCGCTCAGCGTTAGAGTTTTCAGGCTTTTGACATGCTTTCTGAACCGAATCTAAACTGAAGTGAAGGTCCGCAATCACAAAAACCACTTTCGAGATTCCCTACCATAATCCTGCAACAATCATGAGCGATCGGTGATACGCTCTATATTGTAAATCTATGTTGAAGCTAGCTCTACTAAAACACCTAAAGCTTTTGCAAAGATTTCATGACAAGAGAGTCAACGACAATTCAACAGAAGGCCCGCTTTTTTGGGACACCTCGAATGTGGGCGAATCCACAAGGAAGTTTATCTCCGGAAAGCGAAAGTATCTGCATGCATAATAACTGGTCTACGCTAGCAAATCAGCGGATTATCTTTGATCTTATCACGTCATGAACTTGACGTGCATAACGTTAAACCATGCGAATCTTTGGCATTAGCCTTTCCCGTAAACATCGTTATTGCTTTCGCTGTGTTGTTGTGCACGTGTTGTGGGTTTCTCAAGAAACCAGTCTGTTCTTTGTTCATTCAAAGGCCACCTTACTCACATTCCTCGCGCACTTACCCATTGAACGAAATGACCAAGTTTTTATTGGAATCTCCATTTTGAAGCAGAAAAAATGTTTCGCATTTTTCGTAGCGAGCTTATAACTTGTAACTCCTTTTTATCTAGACTCTAACGGCTTACAAATGACTGCTTTGTGCATAGTGAGCTGAGACTTTAGATCATTTCATGCTTTGGCGGCGTTCTGTGCTCCTGTTTAAGTAAGCTTGAGAAACTCTACTGTAACAGAAATAATAGGGTTTTCATTTTCAAGTATATATTGTAGTGATCTCTTTATCATGATGTAAAGGCGAAAATGAGGTACTTCTTGACAGTAACCAAATGAGACTGTAGCTATAACCGCGCAAATTTCCCTTGTCTTGCAGTCAGGCATCATACTATAATAGTACATCATAATGATTTATTCTCTAAAAAAAGCGCTTGCATTCACGCAGATATCCTCCAAACAACATGCCCAACGTAAATGAACGAAGTGATTGTGATGGGGCTTGCAGAAACGGATGAATCAAAACACAGAAAAAGCCAGTTCTGCATTCTGCTACGTCATGACTTACACTGTGACGGACGTTCCAAAACATGGGGTGTGGGACATACATAGTCAGGAAAGGATTCTCACCTTTGTGCTTATTACGTTGCTTTTTACTGATATACACAAACTCTTCAAATTGTTGATAGCATCTTCTCTTCGTAAGAATTTGGAATTTTTGGCTATAATCTATGATGAACTGTCTGCTGCTAGGATCTTTTGATTATTTTTAGCAAAAATGACATAGCTGTTTATGTACAGAGTTTGGTAGGTTGCAGACAAAAAGAAAACATTAATATTATGAGAAAGTCAGACCATCTGGCAATTTTCCTCTTTCTACTCCAGGAACTTGGCATTCCCTTAATTTTTGAATAATTTAAAAAAGCTTAGAATGCACTTGCAACTAGCTATTTGTGCGAGTTCACTTTGCCTTTAAGCAAACTAAAGGCATCAAAAAAGAGATTTTATCGACACTTTGAAGCACAACTAAGGTTTGGGAGGCAGCAAAATGCAATGCGCCTGCTTCTGTATATAAATTATGAAGTTCTACTCGTATCCATCTATATTATTATCGCCTTTCTGCGGCAGCAAATCAAGAACTTCACCTTATCGTCTTTCACTGCACCTTATTGGTCGAAAAAATTTTAGATTTTTACTCTGCTTGTACTCTGCCAATTGGATATTTTTGATTAGATAGCAATGAGTGCGATTGTCATTATTTAGCAAATGTCGCTCTAATTCAGCAAATAGGAAAAGTAGGTCATATTTGGGCTTCTGTATCAAATTTTCAACAAGTTTGGGCAATGTGATGCGATTTCGAAAGTGCAAGTATATTGAGACGTGTTGATGCGTCAAACGAAATGAAATGTGCGATGCTTTTCTGCCACCCCCCTTGTAGATACTGGGTCATACAGCATTCACCACAATAGGCTTAAGTGCCTCTTCATTCGCTTACCATAACTTGTTTGTCTATCGAGATGTAATTCAAATGCATACAAACACTGATGCTTTTCTTACTTTTATCGCTACTCAGAACACAATTCGCTTTTTGTTTCACTAGTTTTCCTAAAGAGTGCAAGTCCTTAATATATGACTGTAGACGAAAGATATAATGCCATATATTCTCGAAACTAATCATTTTCAAAAGTCTCTTCGTTCAAATTCTAGTCGCGGTCATTCTCACTGCGTAGTATTATATTAGCCTTAGAATATTCAGTAGATTCAGCATTTATCAATAGGACCGAAGTTGATAAACCTGTTTTTGTTCTATCCGGTTGTCTACCTGCTATCACAGTATATCTACCGCATTCGATTAATATACAATTTCAAATTTAAAATAAAAAATATTCCAGTATGCACGTACCATTCTTGGACAATCCGAAGCTGCTATGTAAAGTCGTTCCACTATCGATACTTGTGATCCTTTTCACCGCTTTGGTTGTCTATGTTTCATGGGGGTAAGGAAGAATCTTGTACTTTATCTTTATAATTTTTTGAGCAAGATTTGGTGATAGCCCTCAGTATTTTGTATAGAGATATTTTACTACAAATCTGAAGTAAATTGGATTTGAGCAAAGAGCGGTATAAAAACTCTCAAACTACTGCAGTTTTCTGTGACTAATGAACTAGTAGCCCAAAGATGCTGTTTGCAAGAGCGTTCGCTTCGGGACCCGCCGCGGCTTCCTGCCATCGGAGGATTTTTATCTTGAGCTAACGATTTTACATATCTGTTGAGAGCTTTCAAATGACCTTCTAATTAATGAACGAGGAGTGAAATAGTCAAAATACCTCATTCAAACGAAATTTCAAAGATCGTTTGAATGTTGCTTGGCGATGTCGCCATCAGAAAATTGCTACAGGAGGAAAACAATCGCCAGACGAGTAATTTTGGTTCGTTCATTAGTCGCTGGTTCAAGAAGTTAGAGCCTCATAAAGGGAATTTGAGTTCAAAATGAATCAAAAAATTCCTCATTTTACCGCTTAAAAAGTCAAAATAAGCCCTTTTATCTTATCACAAGTCATTTGTTTGAACAGAATAAAAACGTCCTTTTTAGCTTGCATATCTTCAATCCTACACCTTTAATAATTCACATGGACTGTAGTATCTACGAAGGTGCTAGAGGAAAGGATAATCTCGAAGCATACAAGCAAAATCGAAGTGTGATCCGACATCAGATAGATCTTAACGAAACCAAGTAGGTGGGCATTTGAGCAGTATCAGAATCAAAATTCACGATTTTATTTATTTCTATGATTTACAGATGTTCCTTGATTCGAAAGCGACGTTATCTTCCAGTTGAAATACCCGACAGAATGGAAGTCCACCACCACATGTACTTTTTGAGGATTGTTAGTAAGGTGAATCATTCAATCTATATTTTCTATAGATTGATCCCTTATCATCAACAGAAATTTCTCTCTGCAAATTGTTGTGAATCATGCTGTCTATATATCTACTATAATATATAAATCCTTCCAATCCATTAACAGAATATGTTCCTGAAGGGGTGAGGGGTTTACCTTTATAAACTTTTTGGAATGCTTTCCATGTTTTTTAGGTCTTATAAAAACTCTGAAAGCATGGGCTTGAAAATCCATTCCCCATAATTTTCCAGCAAAGCTTCCACGAAATTTTTAAAAAATAAAAACTACTTCATTGCTCACAAGTGAAAAAAGTCTGCTCAGTCTTACAACTTTACCTCCCACTTCCCAATCCACGAGTTTCTCTCTTCTCTCTTCCCTTTCATCTTTATCTTGCTCATGATTCATTTATTTATTTATTTTTGCTTTGAAGAATTTTCGAGCAAAAAAACTGGAAGATTTCTTCTCTGGTCCAATTAGTTAATCTCCTTTCCTGATCCAGATTCCTAACTTACAGAATCATTTTAAGGATTATGATTTCCTGGAGGAAGTAATGACCATGATGTATTCCCCGCTACACTTTTACTGCTTCGTTATTGACAGTAACGCTTCCCCTAAATTTGAGCAGTTGGTAAGCACATAAGTTATTATAATCTCCACGAAAATGATGTAGTCATTTTGATTCAGGTACGAATTCTCGGTCAATGCATATTGAACATAATCGTTCCGCCTGGAAAGTTCAATACCACGACTGCTAATGGCACCTTTGCTGCTTACAACGCCTGTTTCAATGATATGGAAGGTTTTCCATGGAAGCACACCATCATCACTGAAGAAAACGAAATGCCGATTCATTCCATCCATTACATCGCTGATAATGCACGACGAATCCAAAATGCAGCTCGTATTGGCAGGGTTACGCTATCTGAAGAACATATTCGAATTCTAGGCGATGATCTGTCCAAAGCGAGCGAAAAGGATCAAGGTTTGTAGAGTTTTTTGGGGCAAAATTTTCTGTCGTAGAATTTCTGCAAGAAGTTTACAGACTTTATAAGAAGATCGTTATGCACATGGTTCACCACGCGTCGTTTCCCTATAACTCTACCAAGATCTTTCCAGCCAGTTCTATTCAAGTACATGGAAAACCAAACTCTAGAGAACTGTGAGGTACGAAAGTTTGCTACAAACACGATAAAGTCCTTCCAATCGCCATGGGCTCGGCTGGAAATCGGTAATTTATAACTTCGACGGAAGGTGCCTTTGACTTCAACGAATCAATGGCAACTTTTCGAAACCTCGCTTCTTAATAGTTACTGCTAGGTGCTCCTACTCGATCGTTAAAAAGCTTTTCAAGCTTATCTTGAGTATCTTCGTTTCTTATTTTGTGTCCGTAATCCTTATAGATGTGAACACTGTCTTGAAAATAGACAGACATAATTTATTTCTCTTCTCCTTTTGTACATTAATCAAACCCTGATCACTGATGTACGGTACTGGCCCAGCTGCGGATGAGTAAATAAGCGCAATTCTGATACCGGATGTAAAACGTTTGGAAATTTAGATTTGTTAATTTGTCAAACGTTGTTCGAAAATCTTTCTTATTCAAGTTGGAATGACTTTTTTCAACCGTCGTAAACCATTACCTTGGAGATTACATAGTAAACCACTCCAGCTTCTGCTTGCAGCCCCTTTCAAGTGCTTTCGACAAGGAAATTGCTTTGGAAGCTTGTCACACGAAACGATACGACAACAGAGGAAACTGCATCGTTGGCATGGAGGACTACGAGGATTCAATGTTAGTTCACTTTTCTCTACTATTTGCTCAAAAACATGTAGAGTTTATGCTTTTCTGCCTTGTAACGTTTCCAAACTTCTCTTTCTCCAAAAAGAGATGTTACACGAAGATTTGTAGCCCCTTGAATTCCACCGCATAATCTTCACCCATTGACGACGACGTCTTATTTTGCGTGGCGGCGCTGTGGGACGACGCCACTTTGCACAACACTCTCGGTGTGGGAAGGTTTTGTGGTTTTTTGCGAAATGCAAAGTTGTACTGTAAACAACTACAAATATTTCCTTGGACGACCGAGCCTACAGGTCCCAAGCGTGCAAAAAATGGGTAAAATTAGTGATTTATGGAAAAAATACCAGACTTAGAAAGAATACGACTTTGCAAGAGGTGTGGGTGTTACCAGTGGTCCACATCGTCCCGCAGCAAAAAATGCGTGGGTCACCGGTGGTCCACATTGTCGTCATTGGGCTGAAGGCTAGCAATCGCTAAACGCTGATCTCTTCTCAGCCGTATAAGCGCAGACATTTCTAGATGGAAAATTCGCAAAAAAAAATTGAGCAGAGTTGCAGAGCAATCAGCTCAGATCTGGTTTTTGTAAGACCAGATTTGAGCTGACCAAGCCTGGTTTTTCCTCTCTTGAAACTTCCGCCTGCTCAAATTGCAATCGCGGAAAATACTGAAAGAATTGTTTTGACTTCTTTCACAGAATTGGTGTATTATCCTGAAGACTATGTATTGCATAAATCAAAGGGTTTAAAAAGTCCACAGCAAATGTTTCTGTCTTTCGGAAACGTGTGTCCAAGTGTGCATGCTGGATTGTGTTGATATTTTTCTGAGCAATTACGAGTATGAAATCGTAATCAAAAGCAGAATAAGGAAATAATAATGGTATTGAAGAATGAGAATCATGAAAGAGTTTGGAACTTGGAAATAATTTAGAACATAGCTTTCACAACTTAAAATTGTTACAAAACAAGTGTCATTCCAGAAAATCGAAATATCTATTTGTACGAGCCGATCCATATTTTGACGACGGCATCATACAATGCGTGAATGCATTCGTCTATCGTCGAACATACAAGAATGGCTATGGCGATATACATTACAACTGAATCAGTTGTAAATTTCATTTCACTACTATATTGTGGATATGCTCATGATCATCTCACTTTGTCATAAATAACGGGTCCTCGCTTACAATGTGAGCCATTTTTTTCTACTTCCGTTTTGCTCTACCTTTTCCTACATTTTTCCGCCTCAGTTTCAAAATGTTACCTCAATCTTCCCTTAGATTTTGCTTTCTGTTGACGAAGTACAATATTCTTGTATATTATCTATTCCTCTGACGTCACTAAGTGTACAAATGTATAGCATGACATTAGTATTCATGTGTCCGCATCCTTTCTCGTTGTTCAATCTTATCTTATCGATCTTAGCGTCCATTTATTGGACGATCTCTGTTCGACTTTGCGCTCACTTTTGTTGTAATTTGGAAATGAATCACCCGTTGTAATGCACTTGATTCTCTCAAAATTCGTCATAAATTGTTTGTCTAATAGTTCCTTCAAAATGTACAGAAGCATAAAATTAGAACCGAAAAGCACGATAGCTTAATCCTGCTGAATAAATAGATTATGGAGCTGTATTCTTGTGACGAAGTCACACAAGCTCCTGTGGCAGCTCCGTCCCACTTGCGTCGAATTTTACGGAGTAGTTATGGCATAGAACAAGGTTAGTGCAGTAATTCTACGTTTTAATTGAAGTCAAGCATATTTTCCGTTCAATATAGTGTACTTGCGGTGCCAACAAAATGCGGTAAAATTTGCGCGAGAACAAATAGCTTTATCTATGACGCCGGCCATTTGCGCGCGCAAAATGTCGACATTATTGGAGTGGTTAATGTTCACGCGCAAATTTTACCGCCTTTTCTCGGCACCGCAAACACACTACATCAAACAGTTCATCTATTCGACTGAAATTCACAAAACTTTTTTGATGTCGATAACGCACTCTGAAAGTTTTTTCAACGAATTATTTTGCAAAAATTCTAAGAGTTTACCAACTTTGATGCTTTACCAGCGGACTTTGCAATGTGTTTTTACGTGGATAACATATTTGTTATATTATTTTGAACATACTGGTTAGGAAAGCTATGCCTACTTGATGCAGCAAAGCTCTGTATTCAACTTTAAATCGCACTGATTTAATTTTTATAATTTTTATTAACATCAAGCTGGACATGAATAAATAATGATTTTTCTTGTATTTTCTTTCTTGCTCTTCAGAATGTAATATAATATCCCTCGTCGTTCATCTAATCTTGAATTTTATAGTCTAGAGCATGTAGGATGAGTAAACATGAGGTAGATAAGCATTAACAGCATTGTTACCTCAATTTTCCACTAATCATCGAAATACACATTGAAACCACTTCTTCTTTCCATATTTGATAATTAACTGTATCCTCTTTGGTTCCTAATGTAAGCGAAATTGTTTAGCAACCTTCCACGACCTTACGGGATACGAGGATTGTAACTTTCTTCTCGATGACATAAGATGGGACAGAAAACTACCTTGTACGGCGGTTCTCAAAGTGACCAATCCTTTGGAGGCGAAAAGTCGCGAGAATATCGGTGGGGATTTTGTCAGAAAGTTCGTAAAAATAACTGCATCTGCCTCATAATTTTGATTGGGGTTGATTGATTGATCGATTTTGATTGGTCGTTGTTCATCTCAGCGATAACTGAATGGTTGAAGCATATCATTTCTCAGCATTAACATAGATAAGTGCCACTCAATAAATTCCCCATCGCACTCAGTCCGTGCTAAGTTTCCATATTTTTCTGAATCTAGCTATCACGAAGAACAACTTCATTAAGCCAGGCGGCTAGGTTGAATCAAAAACAAGAAACGGGATATTATTCTGAAAATTCAAAAAATTGGGAGCTAAAACGGAAAGTGAGAATAGGAGTGCACACAAAGTAAGATTTATTCCACTTTACTTAAACTCTGGAGGTGCGCCATGAGAGAAAAAAGAACCTCCGGTAAAACATTTGAAATTTACAGCACTTTTCTGCTGGTCAATTTTTTGAGAATCAAAATAAGTACTAATGATCCTCTGAATCTTCAACCCTTAGTTTAGCAGCCTCTACAATTTTGAAATTCAAAGTTCAGACGAATAATATTCATTTTGAACCATTACTCCACCGTGGAATGATCGTCAATACGCGATCGGACTGTGATGCCAAAATTGGATCATGTGGTTTCTTTTCTGTTTGATATTCGTCTCAGTTCCTAAATATCAAGTTTGGCATTCTTGGTAGCGTCTCTTTGGATATAATATTGAAGGGGCTTACTGGCAACTTAAAAGAGTTTTTTGCAGTTTTTTGAAGTTTTTTTTGAAGTTGAACAAACAAAAAATCATAATGTCAAGAAATATACATATTCAGGTCACACAGCAGTGACCATAACCATCTATTAAGATGAAACTACTTTCATAAACAATTTTGATTGAGAGCATAGTGCCCATTTCTAGGATGATCTTCCATCAACATTGATATTATTAATCTATATTCAGATCTCCAAGTGAGGCTATGCGAAATTCTCAATGATAATGGAATACCTTGCCCGAAGATTATCAAAAGGCTAGATGGAAAGAATTGGGCTTTCGAAGAAGTTGCTGGTGGAGGTATGTCAATCAAGTATGAGAAGATATCTGTTTTTCAAAAGTAGAGGGAAAATTCCAGAAAAATGACAGATTGCTTGAAATAGAGTTTCATCACTCATTACAATTGCACTCTTCTTATTAGGATTCTCAAAAATAAATCCAATGAAACCAAAAAACTCTTGTTAGGAGTTTGCTATGGAGGTACCTAGCAAGCTTGATGTCTCGCTAAGACAGATTCACCACTGAAATATAATAGAATAGAAATGGAAGAATAAAACGAACTTTTCAGTTCGTCTGCCAGTGCGATTGTTCGAGGTCCTACCTGGATCGAATCTGGAAAACTTCGATTTCACTCCAGCATTAGTGGAGGATATTGGTGCATTGTTAGCAAGATTTCATGTGGTAGCTGACGAATCAGGATGTACGTTGCATTGGATTTATTTTGGCGCGAATATTATACTGTAAATTACCGTGGCCCATTTATTCCAGTATCAGTCACTCATGTGCCTTACATAGCAGTGGAACATAGAAAAAGCATTTTCAAGGAAATGAAACTGCAAGTTGAACTCTCCTTAATCAGTGAAGAGCAATCGAAGCTGATCGGCGAGTGCTTGCAAGAGTTTGAGGACCGCATCGCGAAAAATAGTCATCTCCATGAAGTTGGTAAACTGATCATTTGGCTTTAGTGTGCATTGTGGTCGTTCATTTAATATTGCAGGTTTGATACACTCAGATGTCAATGAAACCAACATTTTGATTGAAGAAGTGAATGGAAAGAAGAAGGTAAAACAAATTTTTTGAGATTGTGATACTGTCAAAAATTTATGCGGTCTCTTGCATGGGATCTATATCTTTTACCTCTTCGAGCTTTCCAGTAGGGAGAGAAAACCCAGCATGTTTTGCAAAATTTTTATTTAGAACTAGCTGATGACCCGGTCTCGCCCGAGACTTTTAGTTCAACCAAGATGGGGTAGGGGAACGAATTCTGCCAGTTTGAAACATCTCCGCGGACTACTGGTCCTGCAACCACAAACAACAATATATCAAAAGGACCAGTTGCCAGCAAAGGCGGGCTCAAACTGGCGGAGTTTTCCTTTACCCACCAACAGGTTCGTGTAGAGCGGATTGCGCAATTCTGTGATTTTTGGCATAAACTTGTTAAACTTCACGCTATAGAATTGTATTTCGTACCCTCTCGTTGAGCTTATCCTTAAAATCAGTGAAGTCCGTAGCCTCCTCCACACGAATCTGGAAACCGATCATACTTACACTTTCTAACTTCTATGCGCGGAAAGCGCCTTGAGACGAACCTGCTGCATCCTGTCGACATTGAGATTAGAATGAAAAACCTTCACTACCCCTGCTTACATGTTTATTGGAAAACGATTGGTTAGAGCACGTCAAACTTTCATTTTCCGAGATTTGAGTAAACAAATCAATAAATCGATAGAAGGACTCTGCGAATCGCTGCGAAAAGTAGCTATAAACAACCGCCGCTGTCGAAAACATACGTATGCGAAGTTTTAACTCAATCGGTTCAATGGCTGGCGTTTCTATAACGAACGAACAACTAAACGAACATCCTTACAGACATTGGGCTTTATATATATATAGATTTGTAAAAATTATCACCTTTGTAAATATCTTTCTTCTGTTAATGATCTCTTTAAAATTTTCATTGCGCTGTGATTATGGCCACTATCTACAATTTTGGGACCGACTGAGATTGAAAAATAGGCATGTCAGCCAGATGAACGTCAGGTCAAAAAATTGTAGTTAGATTTTCTCAGGGAGTTGCAGTATTTATACCAAGTCTCCAGCAAGACCCAAAAATTTTATCAAGGTTTATTGATATACAGGGTGTCTCAAAAAAATGTGAACATTGTTTGATCGTTAGTAACTCAGTTATTTTCACGTCTTTCGCCGAGTTTGAGGTAACATTTTTTAGGGCGAGGCTCAACTTAGATTTGCAGTATGAAGCAAATCACCAATCGCTGTTCATTACTGTAGGATTACGGTATGAACCTTTAGCATGTGAATCCATTGTGAAATATGCCATTTGACAAAACTTTCTTTCAAAAACCTGAAAAATTGTGTACTAGGGTTTTCGCGCATGCTGATTCCATTACACAACTTTTCTACGGGTGTTTTTAGCTTTTTTGACGGTGTAGTCACGTTTTCGAAAAATGCTGGAAATTCATTATTACGGTTTATGTAGCTGGGATAACCTCGGAAAGAAGCATCACAGTAAAGTAGAAATCTCATATTCGAAATCAGCGGCTTCCATTACCATAGTATAAACGTTTTTGGCTTGTTTGGTTTTGTTCCGAGGAGAGTATGGCCCCCAATGGCCTAAAATCCTTGTCGAAGTTCCTACCGTAATCCTACAGTAATGAAGAGCGATCGACGATTCGCTCCATACTGCAGATCTAAGCTAATCCTCGCTCTATAGAATGGTGCCTCAAGCTCGGCGAAAGACATGAAAGCAAGGGAGTCATTAACAATCAAACAGTGTTCAGATTTTTTTGGGACATCCTGAATGTTGGTAGCAGTTGTGAATGATTCTCACTTTTGTCGTTTTTTATGGTTATCGTGATTATACCATGAGACACAATTACAAACTTCTAGATCTTATTCAAACATAGTAAATTTGAGTGTGGCGTGCTGACCCTTAAAGCTTGAACATATAGCACAAAAACATTCTTCAGGGCTTTAATTTACACACAACTCGATAGACTTCCAATTAGGGACCGGGTATTGCAGTTAACATTCTGTGAGACATTTTTGTTGATTTTGATAGCAAAAAGGCGGGATAAATATAGATATATCGACATGACTGGTATCGTTTTGATGACCAAAAATGGATATTTTGAGATCACAGGATTGCTCGACTTTGGGGACGTGCACAGCTCATTTCGATTAGTGGACATTGCGTCTACAGTACTTTATCTACACCTCTCTGACAGACTGCACCAAGGGTAAGTTAAAGACTTTTCTGAGAGAGAAAATGTACCTTACAGGCTTATGATATCATTATTGAATATTATAACAAACATTTAGAGTAGAAGTGCTTGCGCACAATGTACTCAAAGGATACCAACGCATTCGCAGGTTGCCACTATGTGAGCACCTTCTGACAGCAATGAAGGCTCGCTTGTCGTGTTCACTGATCTATGGGCTTAGGCAAGTTGTTTAGATTGTTTTGTGAATCAAAAAAAGGGAAAGGAGGAACAACTTTGCCCCTGCCGTTTACAGTCATCCTCATTTATATAAATTTGTTTGGATTAGGTTTTCGCAATTCAAAGCTGTTTTGGTGAGATCTAGATTTGAAATTAGCTATCAAAACAACTAAACCTGTATAGACCCCCCACCCCAGAGATGTGCTAAAAGGTCTGATTACTAGTAATTTCAACGCATAGTTGGTAAAATAAATTTGTGAGACCCCAAGCTAAATCTACTAATTTTCAGAACTGCTCGTATCAACTTTTGTGGTGGTAACGTAGAATACATATTGAGAACACAATCAAACGGGTGGGAAGTCTTGAAGGTTTGATTTGAGCATCCTTTTCATCTCTTTGTCATCCTTATCATCTGTGATCATTCAGGAGCTGCATGGAAGCACATTAAGTTTGGGAGATGTATCTCAATGATGATTGATTACGACATAAAAAAATAATAAAAGTCTTTTTTGATAATTTGCACACGAGGTGTTGATTTGCAAACGAGAAATCCTAACCAAAGCAATGAAGAGGCAGTGAACAAATAAAAAACAATCGACAGAAATCATTCATGCTAGGTCCTGATGTTAAAAAGAATATTGAGCCCATATTTGGAAGAGTTTAAAAGCTCCCTTCTCTCTCCTCACATATCCCTCCAGGTTAGGCAACCTCTGTCATTTCCTGCACCTCAAAAGAGCAAACCAACTAAAGTTGGGTCCTTGAACGATAGTGTACTGTTGACGCATA